GCCCCTCGCACATTTCGCGACCGAGATGAACAATTCGCAGAAGGAACTCGAGACTATCAAGTCAAGGCTTGAAGAGCTCGACGGAGAAGACAAGAGCCTTGTTGAAAAGGTAAAGATTAAGATAACTGTACCAGTACGACGCGACCTGCCACAGCCGAAACTTGTATGCTCAAACACTGAGTGCAGCCAGCCCGATGAGCGGGAGTGGGACGACGGCTCCAAAGAGATGCGATACGGGAGATCCTGCCATGTGGGCTGCGACATCGACGCTCCGGAAGCGAGAATAGGACATGAGAAACTGGGGAACTGCCGTGCATTCTGCAAATGGTATTATTTCTTCTTCCCCGCCAACCCCTGCAACGAGTGCGGCCATCCCTGGCAGGAACACCTGCGCATCACGTACGAGTTGGAACCCGGAGAAAAGATGATCGAGGATCCGGAGGTCCTTCAACAGATCTCGAACATTACGGACTTCAAGGCGAAAGTGAAGGCGAAGATGGAGCTCGCGGCTGCTAAGATTGACGACATCAAGAAGGAGGAAGAGCAGGTCAAGGACGCTCGCGTGCGCTTCGGATATTATCTGCACCAAAATGCCCTGGGATCTGTATACAATGACAGTACCCTCGCCTATCTCAAATATGAAATCAACCAGGCGAAGTGCCGACAGGATTTTTCTCTCGCCAGCGATCTAGAAATGCAAGAGGTTGAGTATCAAGAGCGTTTTCAGCTCTTGGAAAAGACTATCGAGGCGAGCGACAGGATAGAGTCGAGCGATTCGGATGAGGGTGTTGACATCTTCAAGATTATCAAGGAGCTCAAAAGCATGAAGATATACGGAGAAGAATGGGTAAAGGTGATTGGGGACGACTTCGTTCCACTTGAACCCTGTCGAATGCTGGCCTTTTCATTGCGGAGCAAGCAGGTGGATGGATCCGAGAGTTTTGAGAGAGAACCAGGAAGGAGTGACGGGCAGGAACCGGAGTCGAGGTTTCGATGGTTACATGGATGGGGCAGCAGAAAGCTCAAGGCTATAAGCGGATTGTTCCACGACAGCTGAACTCGGCATGAGAGGGGGCTGGACGGCTGCTGCGTGAGTGCTCCGTAACGCTTGCTTGGTGTTGTTTGTGATTGTGTTGGAGCGTTAAAAGATGAGGCGTGAGGCCACCACCGGACGTCAGAGTCGGAGCTCCACTGTTCCATACCACTGAGATATGACTTTGTCTCTTTCTATTTCTTTTCCTTCTTCCACTTACAAGTTTAACAAGTCTTCATCGTTTAATCAGCTCAGCTGTTGTAATGACTTCTAGCTTCTAGTTTTCAGTTCTTTTTTCAGTCATCATTCGATCACTAATATACAATTTATCTCATTAACAGCTCTGTCCCATAAGGCCTGGGATTCGACATTCTCTCTTTCCGTTATGTCCGAACTAAGCCAACGGCCAGCTGAGAAACAAGGAGAAGATTGGTATAGATTTGAGACATTCAAACACGCTTGGATCCTTTCTGTTCTTCTTACCCCTCTCCCTGTTGAAGCTTCTATTCCCAGACCTCTGTCGTATCGTCCCCCTTATGCTTACAACGCTTCTTATAAGTGAATAAGTCCCACGGCCATGGCCTTCCTTACCTCTCTCTGTCCACGTAGCATGCGGCTCCAAAAGAGTAAAAAAGAAAAAAAAAAGGACAAAAAGAAACATACAACACCGGGGATTCGCTGGTCGTCACCGACCCAACTACTAGTCCGGCGCTTCGCAGCTTGTGTACAGGGGAGCGGACGGGACCCTCAATATTCTGCGAGCTATGGCCGTATGTACCGTGTCCATGATCGTATCGGGTCTATAAAGAGTCTACCAACCGAAGAAGCCGTGGAGTGTTGATATATCTCTAGATATATCGGGGATCGAAGATTTTATTATATCCATCTGAGTCGGCCGAGTGCGAATCTCAAATGTCCCACTTCATAATTCGTTCATCAAATACCAAGTAAAAGTGAGGTTAGCCATGCTAGCAAGCGTGGAGGGACGGCCAACCCTAAACTTGACGTTGCAAGTCTCCATCACCTGCATCTCCAGCTTTTCAGCCTCCTCCCATCAGCTCCAGTTCCGAAGCGTTGATGCCAAGTTAGCTAGGCTACTGAGTGTATTGGGATGATCATCCCTAAGCTTCACCTTGCGAGTCTCTCATCGTCTGTACGTCTAGCTTCTCTGCCTCCTCCTATCGGCCCTGGTTCCCGTACGTTGACGCCCAGTTGGCTATGTTTAGGTGGAATGATGCTTAGTATGAGAACCAGATACATTGCTATGAAGTCCCGTTCTTTTTTGAAGCAGAAAATCTTCCTGACTAGCCATATGGTATTTATTAAGCAGAGAGATTTAATACTTATCGAGTGTATAAATATGGCGATGGAAAGGTGCCTAGAAGGGAATTGGGTTATCATGGCCTCATCGAACTCCAATGGTTGCAATACTTTGGCAAATTTTGACTGGTGCTGCTAAGTGAAATGTTCCTGGCCAAACCAACACATCTTCGCTCCCCATGCATAGCATAAACAGGTCATGGAGTCGAGCCAACAACAATCTGCGTTGTACTTGAAATAAGATCCTGCCATATCTGAACAAGACCATTCAGATACTGGAGTTCCGTGACGTCCGACATGTCAACAGCCGCGTCAATCACGCAGCCCAGCGCATCCGTGTCGCCAACCGGATCATAGAGCCAAGATTTAGTCGAGAGATCGGGATAGTCTTGGACTGTGGTGGCGCAGTCGTCTATGCTGAGGCCGGGGGGCAACGTTTGCGCGCAGGGTACTACGAGCTCGCAAAGATTAAGGTTCTGACAGTTGCGTATCTCGCAAAGAAAGTACCCTTCGAAGTCGTTCACGGGCAAGGTGCGCTCGTAGCAACTTTCCCGCTGTGCGTTCGCCGAGCAGACGCAGGCGCTTTTAAGCACGCTCCATGCGTTGTAGATGTCCTGGGGCATCAAGGGGTTGCAAACCGAGGGGATAAAAACTTCTTCGGCTTGAGGAAGACCGAGTGTTGGTAGGAGGAGGGTCATGACGACCCCGTAAAAGGATGTTCCAGAGACCATTGTGTTCTGTGGTTTGTGTTTGTTGTGTGGTTTGAGTTTGTGGTTTTGTCGGGATTGGGGGGAGGCAGGACCACGGATAGGTAGATTTCTGAGATTTCTGGCATTCCCTAGGGTAATAGAATGGGTTTTTATAATCGCCTGGGATTCATCCTCTTTGCACATCGGCGCCGAGGATCAGGCTCGACGTATTAGTCTCAGGCTCTGGAACCTCAACCTGGCAATGTAACATGCAATATTATCAGGCAAATCGAGCAATTCGATCTGCAAACGCCGCCCAGTTGATCCTCACCAAAGCCACAAGACTTTTTGACATGACGTGGGAGGAACTGATAGTCTTGGGTCCGCCGGCACCGTCAGATGGGGCTTTGGCAGACCCAAAGAGTAGCGGGTTTGAGCGGATGCGGCGCACCATGCTGAAGAACAGCGGGTCATTCCGGCAATATCGTCTCTGTAAGTGTCTGTTTTTCCACCGTCGAACTTACATTGCACTTTTAATCATATTTGCAATCAGATCATGAGTGGACAGCGCGACGTTTGGAGCCATTGTGATGTGGAGGTCTGATGAAGGTCAGATGGAGGTTTGATGGGTCTGAGGGAGATCTGATGGTGCGCAGTCGAAAGTAGAAAACGTGGCGTTCGATTTCATGTTTCCTGCGTTGTCTGGCTGCTGCCGAGTTGGAGCTGAGGCTGTCCGTTCCAACTTTCAGGTTTCGGGCTTTAGAGTTCGGCACAGAGGAAACCCATTTCGCTCCTAGCTGTATTTCAACTCAATCTTCTGCGTTGTTGAAAATAGCATTTTTATACTTCATGCTCTGTCTCGCCCTCGGGAGCTATATCCTTCGCAGCCTGGCGATAGTAACCTTCGCGATCCTCTTGGAGCCTCGATCCAGCCCAGCACATTCAGCTATCCCATCTTAGGACGCCTTATCATTGCGAAGACGACCGCTTACCTTGGATCACGGCCCGCTATCTGGAATGCTTCGATGATTTCCATCGACTTTGCGGTAACTGTATTATCGTGCACCACTAGGCAACAAGATGGTCACGTCGTTTGTTAATCGCCTATGCATTGTGCGCGGGCAGCGATAATTGTTTAGCTCCCCCTGCCACAAGAGAGCTGAATTGATGAGTCTGACGTAAGCGGCGATCTCAGTCAAGTCCGCTGTGCAGAAATCAGCAACGGTATCAAATCTATCTCTGGGTTTGTGGCATCACTACATATGTTCAACTGTTCAATTGTTTCATTGATCCGGCTCTCCATATCTCATCTGCAAATGGAGTGCACCATCCATCCATACCGCTACCCTGTCTTGGAACCTGGGTCCTTTCGTCTAATAAAGTTTCGACCCGACCGCTCCTCCCAAGACACGGCGGTGCTGTACGACCCCTTAAACGATGGCTCGCCATCCTCAGACAATACGACCGTTGCTCTCTTCGCGGAGATTGTCGCATGTGTTTTCGACGACCCCATCACGTACGAATCAGTTTCGTATTGCTAGACAGGGCACAATCGTAAAATGTCTTCGGAGAGAGGGAGATGCAGGCACCCTTTTCGCGACCTCTAGTCGCACCCTTGCACCAGCTACCACATGCGCGCCAGGCTAGTGTAAGTTGGGTAACCCACGGGTACGGTACCCCCGGGTTACTTACCATTTTAAAGCTGCGACCCATGGGTCCGAAAAATTCGCCCGTGGGTACTTCGTACTACCCAAACTTTCGAACAATGTCCCCAAAATACCCATAGGGCGGGTATTCCGAGGCCTAACTTCAACAAGGAACTTTCATATTCAACCATTACTATCGACTACTGTAAAAAGTCTCCATGACCGACAAGCTGGTGCCAAAACCCCCGACAACCCAAGCAAAGCACAAAACCCAAAACTTATTCCCACCAAGCAACCACCCATTCCTTTCCCTCAAGTCCTCTGGATCTTGAACATGACCCTCGTCTTATCCCCGTTCGGCAAGCTCTCGATAATCTCAATCGTCGACTCCCCGTCCTGCTTCTTCCCCCCTACCGTCATGACTGGGTTGACCGTCCCCTTGACCACCCACCTGAACCCGGAATTGCCCGGCACGACGATGACGGGGTCCTCCGGCAGGCCACCATCCTCCCCTTCAGCCTCGTCGCCATCACCGCCTTCCGACTCCTCTGGCGGGTCAACCGGATACAGCGAGTACCGGTACGACTCGAACGTCTCGCTGAACTGATCCTTCAACAGCCCCGTCTCCACCAGCTTCGAATCCAGGGTGCCGAACTTCTCGATCCACATGTTCCCCCGCGAGAAGGCCCCGCTCGCGTTCAGCTGCTCCTGCACGCCGTTTTCCTCCAGCCCCAGCTCCTTGAGCAGGCAGACGTCGTCGTCCCCCGTCGAGAACAGCACCGACGCGCTCTTGAAGCTCACCGGCTCGGACGTCGTGTTCCTGCCCTCCACCACCACCACCACCACCTCCTGGTTCCCCTTCCACGCCGACGACGGCGTCTTCACCGCGTACTTGAGGCTCGCCCCCGGCGGGTCGTCGAGCCCCGCGCACAGCGGCTTGGCCTCCTTCTCGATGAACTCCTCCGTCGGCGTCAGCGGCGGCTCCTCCTCCCTCGCGAACAGGAACCCCAGTATCAGCCCGACGATGGCGATGACGATCCCCGCGAACGGCACCATCAGGCTGGACACGAAGAAGCCCATCAGCTCGAGCACGACCCCTAGCGCCATGAAGGCGATCTGCGCCCGCGCCAGCCGCCTCCCCCTGGTCGTCATGTTCTTCATGTCCTTGGACAGCGATATCGTCGACGCGATGAAGGACGCCACCCCGAGCGCGAAGCAGATGGCCCCGAACGTGGTGACGGAGCAGTTGCTCCTCCGCAGCTGCTCCGCCCTCTTCCCCCCCGGAAGGAGGTCCTTGCGCGCGCTCAGCTTCTCGTTGTTGATGACCCGCAGGTCCGCGCTGTTGAGGTACTTGCCCTTGCGGACCTCGTCGTTGATGAGGGCCTCCATGTGGCCCAGCCGCGCCTGCTTCTCGGCGTCGATGACGTCGATGGCGCCCGTGGCGGGGTTGAGGGTCGTGTTGAGCTTCCGCTGCAGCCGGATGTTGAGCTTGGTCTTCCGCAGGCGCTTGGTGAAGAGCTGGTCGAGCACGTCGGATTCCATTGCGGCGGCGTGGCCCTGCTTGACCACCTGGTAGTCCCTGAAGATGGTGGTCGCGCCGGCCAGGAGATCGGCGTACGCCTTGGTGAGGTCCAGTGCGCAGGCGACCCGTTGTTCCGGCGTCATGTTCTTCCACTCCGACGAGATGTTCAGCGTGAGAATGAGAACGCCGACGCCCTGTTTTGGAAGAATAGAAGAGTCAGCAGATCAAAATAAACCGCAACAGAAGGGGGGGGGACAAAAATGGGGTACGCTTACCGCTCCGACGGTCAGAAACCCTCTCATCTTGGCCAGGCGCTTCAACGAAAAGTTCTGCATGTTCTGGAAGGCCAGGTTGATGGCCTTGTGTATCCGGTCAGACGGTCCCCACGTCATCATGATGGACCCGAGCCCCTGGAGAATCTGGCTGATCTGGGTGACGGCCACGGCAAAACTCTGGAGGACCTGGATTCTCCTCTCCTCCGCCGTCTCGTCGGTGAGGTTCATGTCCTCGTAGAGGCCGTTGAGGTCCTCCAGGAACATGGCCCGGACCTCGTCGTCGAGCTCCGAGGCCCCATCCTCGACCAGGTCCATCAGGTGCCCGATGGCGTCGATGATCCACTCGCCAGACTCGTACCCGAGGATATCCGCCGGTATGTCGGTGGCAGCCAGCTGGCTGATGGCCAGGAACTGGCTGTGCAGGCTGAGGTAGAGCTCGCCCGCGAAGTCGCGCTCGTCCTCTTGGAGGAAGTTCGGGGAGAGGGCCTGGGCGACGATGCACCACCGGTTGAGTATGTTGCCGGACCCCGTGCTAAGCCCAGGCACGATTTTCTGTCTCAGATAGGATTCGTTGTCGAGTTTCTCGAGCATCTGCTGAGCCCACGGCTTTTCGGGACTGGTGTCGAGGAAGTCCTTGCGCCAATCGTCGTCAACCTTGTCGAGTATATCTCGGGTCACGAAGAGTGACACCCGCTCGTTGATCTTATTATACATGTCCTGATTCGCAAGACATTTTGGGCCCTGAAGAGATACAAAACATTTAGTAACTTGATGCAAGCTTGGGGGGGTGAAGATGCGTAAAGAAGCTCCCAAGAACATAATAAACTCTTACATTGCCTTCCCAAAAGTACCAAATCTTTTGCTTTTCGGCCTCGGTAAGCTTCTTCCTTAGGCCTTCCTCGGTTTTGGAGTTCATCTGTGACAGGGAATACGTGATGTATGCTTTGCCGTACACGTTCTTGAGCCAACCCTGCATGTCCGATGTCATGCTGTTCAGAAGTCCATCGGGGAACTTGTCGCTGGTGGGCTTCTTGGACGTGGTGAAGTTCTCGACGTCCTTGTCATCCATGTAATAAAACATGAGATCCTCAAAGACGGTTTGCGATGTTTCAACCACCTAAATAGAAAGAAAAGGAAATGACACGGTGTGTTAGAAAATCATGATGGTCTCTTGGAATTTCCTGATGCATCAAGGGGTCAAAGATGGGACGGGTGGGGGGAGACACTTGCTTCTTTCTCATCAAATTCCATGAAAATGAGCCTCTGTACTTGATTTGACGGCGTATTGGCGGCCCTTGCCAATGATCCAGTCACAGCGGCGGGCTGCGTATTGCGAGCCGAGGTGGCCCTCTTCTCCACAAGAGTCTCCGAGCCGGGTGCCTCAGTAGCAGCTGGACGAGCCATGCTCATCGACAAAGCGCCCCGTTTCTCATTCACTTCCGCGGCCGAGAAGAAGAACTCTGGCTCATAACCTTCCATGCAGTATCTGGTTCCTGGTCAGCGCTTCGAACCAAAAAAAAAAAAAAAAAAGAAGTAGAATCAAAGATCTACTTACTTGTCCCCTAGGAATCCCGCCATCTCTCCATTGAACTCGTAAACTGCACCGTGCAGCTCGGACCGGAATCGATCGAACTCAAGATCAGCCTCGACGAAGAGAAGCGGAATGACGACGCTGCTGCCGATTTTCGTAAACGTCAAGTTTTTCGTCGGAAACGTGCCGAGCTCGGTTGGCGTGGCCGGGCCGACGTGCTGATCCGACAAGGCCGAGATGACCGCCGGGGACGTGATCTCGATCTTGAATCGCATCCGCTTGTCCGGGGTTTCCACGATGTAGGAGTTGTAGAAGGACGGCAGCTGCTTGTACCGCTCGACGGTGGCGTTGTAGTCGACCACCAGCTGGTCCAGCTCGGACAGCAGCACGGAGGGGATCGGCAGGCCGTTCTCCTTCTCCGAGTAGTAGATGCCGAGACCAAACTTGGAGAAGAAGTGCGGGTCGACGCAGGTCTCGCGGGTTTCCGCCTCGGGTGGCCACACGACCGAGTCGACGTAGGTATCGAAATACCACTCCTCGTCCCAGCTGGACACCAGCTCGCCATCTTCGAGGTCCAAGAGACTGACTTCATTCCCCTCGGCATTATCGCCATTGGAAATTGGACTCGGGTTCGGGCTTGGATTTTCGTCAATGTCTGGGATTGGGGTTGGAATCGGAATCGGGATCGGCATCGGGCCTTTGTCGTTCTTCGGCGGCCGCGTCAGCTTGGGTCTCGGGATCGGCATCGGGCCCTTGCCGTTCTTTATCGGCAGAGAGGCTCGACTCTCCGCCGCCGCAATAGCATCGGCGGGACCGCCCTGGCTCTTCGTGGCCGGCCTCTTCGACGTGGGGGCAGATCGAGTCTTGAAGGCGACCACACAAGAGCCATCAAGCTCGCAATTATTGGTTGGGTTCTCATCGTCGGAGATGAGAACGGCTCCCCGCACATCCAGACCATGCTGGCGAAACTCGATGAGACCATGCTCAAACCCCACTCCGGGAACCTCCCTGGACCACTGCAGAGTGTTCTTGACCGTGTCAAAGGTGGTTCGTTCGACAGGCCGACCATCCAGGACGAGAACGCCATCAAAGATTTCCACGGACGGAAGCTGATATCCGTCAGGGGCACTGCAGGTCTTGACAATCGACTCACAGGCTTCTAGCTTCAGGGTCCTACGCAGGTCCTGCAGATTCAGGCGTGGCATGTGTCGCTTCGTCTTCATTCGGCCGTGGCGAGCCGTCCTCAGCTCCTTGTGCAGCAACTGGTCCACCCCTTTGAGACCGAGCTTGCCAAAGAGAGGCCACAGCTCGCGAAGTCCGTATAGAATCTTAACTCTCTCGGGGCGGTCTAGTTGGAGAAGGGCTCGGGCGACCGACTTGATGGTGATTTCGGGGTAGTTGACGGCAACAAGGAATCCGTCGGCATGGTAACTGCGGTCCCCCTCACGGAGATGCAAGCCATGAACCGTCTTCAGGTCAGGCATGTGCTCGATCTGGATGGATTCAATGGGCACCAAGTCGTATGACTGGCCGTCGGGCGAGAGACGATACAAGACGTGCCCCACTCGGAGCTTGCCCACCTCAACCCAAGCATTCTCCTCGACCGCGGCGTTTGGGTCGACAGCACGGAGACCGGTCGTGGTGTGAAACATGTGACCTTTGGTGGCAAAAACGCCTTCATTATCTAGAGGCTTAAAGTCAGAACTGTTTATCACGAGGGTAGAATTGGGATTGGTCTCTTACTAAACCCAACAAGGAATTCGTCTTCGGCTGTGACAGTAACGTCCTCGTCCGAAGTAACACCAAATCGCTGACCATGTGCATGGGTCAGAACTCGTGTGCCCTCAACGATAGTTTCGATGGCAACGTTTCCTTTGTCAGTGGCGATCATAGTTCCCGGTTTGAAGCATCCCCCACCGCCTCCGCTTCGAATGGGAATAAGCTGAACGTCCGAAGTTCGAGGAGCGCGATTGGTAAAAACATCAGGATAGATTGATCGGGCTGTAACAGATGAGCTCAGTTAGCACAAAATTCAAGCGCCTCTCTTTTCCACTTCGTGATTGATGTCAGTTACCTTTTGCAGTCCACTCGGCCAGCGGCTGACCGGTAATAGTGGTCACCTCGGTATACTACAACAGTGAGAGTTTGATCAGCAACCGTACGGATTTGTAAGGAGATGTTTATCGAACTAGGTACCTTTTTGGTTTGCTCAGCCTTGGGAATCTGCCTATCCGGGAACGGCGTGTTTGGGTTATCGCTTCCATGTCCTGGAGTCGTTCTCGTTACCGTGCGGCTCGTCTGGCTGCTGACCGTGGCGTTTTTCTTCACCGCGCCTTCCCAGCCATCTTGAATGACAGGCCATCGAAGCTGGAGGCGCGTGACGATAGACTTGAAGTGTTTTTGTCCCTCGTCAATCATGTCGTCGAAATCAGAGTCCTCACTGGAAGGGCCGGAGGCGTCGCCATTCGGTGAGACGGCTTTGCCCATCTTGGCCTTGCGCATCCTGGCTGCCTTGGCCGCACCCTTGAACGTTTTGGACATGACGAGGCTGCGCATCGGAAGACCGCTACTCTCTAGATGCTTGCCCTGAGCATCCACGGGGACGGCGACGAGGGAAGCAACCTCGACCGAGAAGTTGAACAGGTCTTTGGGCGAGTACTCGACCCCGGCGGCGGAGTCGATGAGCATCGTCTGGATCCACGAGGCGAGGATCTGACCGCTGGCTGACTTCTCAAAGTTGTCGCTTCCCAAAATTGGCGTCATGGCCGGGCCTTGTTTCAGGTACTCGGCCACAAACATGAGAGTTGTGCAGATGGCCTTCTGTGGCTTGACAAGATCCAGCACAACGACATCGGCAACAAATCTGGGATCGGTGATCTTCTTGTTAAAATGTGTGAGAAAATCCGGGGTTTGGAAAAGCTCTTCCAAGGTCGGGAGGGAGTCGGCCTCGAGGCGCCAGTTGATGTGCTCCTCGTATAAGATAAGAGCAGCTTTGGACAAATCAACAAAAGTCCCATACGATGCGTCTGCCTGATTATAGAGATTTATAGATTAGAATCGGGCCGGTCTTTGCCTGGGACAACACAGATGCAGTGCCACTAGTACTTACGCCTTTAACGCACTCCTTGAACCTGGACTTATCTGCCGTGCTGTTGAGGCCAGTAATTGCAACAACTACAGACTGCACTGCAAGTCTATTGAGAGCATCGGACTGATCGCGACCGCTGATACTAGTCGTGCTAATAGGCGGGCCAAACTCAGGCCTCAGACGAATATCCCGTTTGAGAGTTGAGACAGCAGGGGCATTGCGGGCGAAGTTGGAGAGGCGATCCCCAAACTCGAGAACCGGAAAGGCCTCGATGGCGCACAGGGAAGCAACCACCTCTTGGGCCAGGGCAGCCATTGCGGTGCGGGTCTGAGACGGATGTCGGGGGTAGAAAAGTACAACACAAATGGTAACAAGAATTTGCAGTATTTGGAAGAATCCTTTGAGCCAATCTGAATATTCAATAATGGAGGGGATGTGAGCACTGTAATTGACATTGCCGAAGGAAGTGGGCAAAAGCCAAGATCATATATTTCCAGAGAGATGTAGAGAAAAGAATAAAACCCAGACATTTTACCACTTCAACTTCTTCCCATGTCAAAACCCAAATGGCGGGCCTCATAGCGGCTGAAAATGCTGTCGAATGCAACGTTGTGATGTCGCGAGGAGTTGTCAGGTAGGAAACACAGCTCTGATCTAAAAAGTGACAAGGGCCTCTGTCAAAAAGCTTAAAGTTGAGCTAAGAACAACACCCGCACAGCTGGAACACCTTCGAGGACTTTTTTGGTCGCACTAACTGATAGGGACTGCTCAACAGCTGCAAAAACCTTCCAAGATGGCGGGTGCCACTAACGCAACCTTGTTTTCCAGAGCTCGAAAAGGTGCGGATGCTGACGCCAAGCCGCTGACGCCAAGCCGCTGACTCCAGGCCGCTGATGCCAAGCCTGAGTCATCACTCAGCCCTGATGATACCAATGCTCAGCTTTGAATCTGAAAATGGACTTTGGTGTGCACTTTTCGTCTGCGTTTCTGTTGGCATCTTGGGTTCCGGACTGGAGCTCGGAGCTGAGCATCCCGTACGGGTATCTCAATTCCAATACACCACTCTTTAGTTCAGGCAGTGATAAACAAGCTGGGATTTGGGCTCAACTGCGTCCGAAACGTGTGGATGGGACGACGGCCCTCGTCATTCCGGGATTCGAGGCTGATTCTGTTGAGCTGACCGGGCAGCATGTCCGCCGGCAGATGTCAACATCAGAGGATATGGGCGTGTTATGCAATTACTTCATAAGCGACATTTTGTATTTCCATTCGCTCGTTATCCGAAAGTCCAATGCACCAACTGTGCGTCACGGACGCGGAGACGAGATATACCCTGGTTCCTCTCAACCGGGGGACGTGGTCTGTCCACCGCGCCAAACGACCCGTCTAATCGTCTAGGTCCTCAAGTCGATGGGATACCCCTTCTTAGAGCAGTATTTGAGATATCGAAACAGAGGTTCCACCGCCAGGCTAAGCTCAAAGAATGGGTAGGATACATTCGAAGCCTCCACGATATCCGCCACAATCCTCTTTTCAACGGCTGGAGGAAAGCCATGGGCCTTTACTACTACGTACCACGATGGCTCCGGTTCGGCGATAGCTGGGCCGTGTACGACTTTTTCGAAAAGTACGACGCATGGTATAAGTCATTCGGGCCCGAGTTTCGTGGACCGCAATTCCCGGAAGATGGCGCTCACCTCGATGAGGACATCAGAAAGGCGGCATTGGCGGCTATGGGTACATTCAACGTCGCGTTGATGCGCAGTTGGGACGGAGGTGCTTCATGACAAAGGAAGGCTATGTCGGCCTCGGGCCTGAGGAGATGCGCGAAGGTGATGTTGTTGTCGTTCTTAGAGGAGCTACAGTACCAATGATTCTGAGGCCCGGCCGTGGAGATCGCGATGGGCGATTCGACTATGTAGGCGAAGCATATTGCCATGGTATCATGGACGTGGAATTGCTTTCAGAAAAATGTCAGAAGCGGCCAACGATGTTTTCCATGAATTAATGGGGCTCGCAGGGGTTTATTTACTTAACTACATATGAACTCGTAGCACCAAAGTTGTCAACTTCTGAGGGCATTCATTAGGGTGCTATCTAGCTTTTTGCAGGACAGTCTGGACTTCGTAGAGCGGATAAAAAAGCAGATAATCGCGGAGGCGGTCAAATAAAGTCCTCTGCTGACGTAGGGACATCGGACCATGTTGATATACACACGTCAGACCGCACGTCTAGCTGAGACCTCTCTGATCAGTACACTAGGACGAAGTGATTTTGAGGGTGTGTGCCGTATGGAAGGTGAGATGCAATTTCGGTCATCCTGCCGACCGAAATAACATCCTACCCTCATACTCGCCACTCTGCTGCATGCTACCATCATCTCAAGCCCACCATCTCATGCCGAGCACGGGTATCAGGTTTGACTTGAGAATATTATCCTTGAATCTAGTATTGCGCACGAGTATCCGTTTTGTATTCATATCGGGGCTTTCTCTTCCAACGGGACGAAATTGGAACGCGTCAACTCGGATGCTGACGCGATCTCGTCGTTCCAGGTCACGTGAGTAGTGACGGACTAAACAAGGCTACTTGTCTTAGAGTATTGAAGGACTGCTTCATATCGCACGGCAACAGCTTTATTACACTGTAGAAATCTATACTTCCATACTCATTATCCTTGACAAGTAAAAGGCGGAACGGGTGTCACGAGTTTTGTTAGATAATTTTTTAGCAGGGTCCGTTTTTGGACCCTTAATGGCTTTGCAATCGCAAGGTTGTACCTCGAAAGCACAAGTACTACAGACAGGAAGGATATTCGTGGGATATTAGCTCGTACAGAGCTACCCCGCCTCCTCTTCTAAGAGCTTACTTGTAGCTAAACGCATAATACGGAATTTCCGCTGAATTACTGATCTTATAACCGTTTAACTTTTTTCTGCCGTGTTCCCCCGCCAAACTGCGATAAAATTACTGATCTTGGAACCGATTTTTTTTGGGCCAGGTTTCTCCGCTAAGCCGGCTAGATCCGAATTTTTGCCGGCTGATTGCGTCCCTAACCGTCTTCTATAAATACCACCGTCAAATTTTCATTTCCAATTCCAGTTCCGTCAATTTCAAGCACATCACGATCGAAAATTACCATCAAGCGCACCGTTTTTTCCATCATCTCGGTGTCAATCATTTTGATCTCCATCAATTCAACTATCACCATCCTTATATTTTCTCTTTGTATTACCGATCTCCCTCACCGATACTCAAGAAATCGATTTGATTTCGCCCTATAATCAACACCCGCCTCCCCTCGATTTCGCCTAGCCTCCTCGACGAACATGGAGCCCGCCTCGGATACGCCCTCCCGTCCGACCCCACCCACAGCTCCGACCACGACTCCGACCACACCCCCGATGACCCAGGAGCACTATGTCTACGTCGCATTGGGCACTGCGAGCTCGTGTATTCGCAAAGACTATCCTACACTACGAGTTAGCCTCCCTCACCTCCCGTCCTACTTGAAGATCCTTGAGGAATGTGGAAAGGCTGTCGACTCAATTACGCGTCCGATCATTGTTCCCCCGGTTCCGTCCACATGTCCGAAGAGACGAGAAAGACTACGTGCTCTTGCAAAGTCCGCTCGACTAGCCGACGATGTTGGCCAACCCAGTTCAAGAGAGAATGAACAGTTCTCTCTCCCTATCCAAACGCACGGTCTTTTAGAATCCGCAGGTGTGCCGAAGCCTTTGACTCAGAAGGAGAGGGCCCAATTGAAGCAGAACCTCCTCGGCGACATTACCAACACCCCGCAGCCACCTCCCGCCAACCCACACTTCTTCATCGTTGCCAACCGCGAGGAGCTCGCCCTACCTTCTGTGCAATGTACGATCTCTTTATCTGCCGTCGACCACGAAGATCCAATGCCCCAGCAATACTTACCTAAAGTTATGGCCCTATGGGATACCGGCGCACAAGTCAACTTCATCACCGATGACCTGTTTTCTCCCGAATTTAGAGAGTTCGTTAAACAACATGAAGTTCATGAACCCTACCGGTTTGTCGGTCGTGCGGGTGGGGCGGGCGGGACACGGGTCCAACTCTCATGCTTGGTCGAATTTTCTAACGAAATTGTCGTGCAACTGGACACAGTTGCTACAGTTTTATCGAGGGATGCTGCCCCTAATGGGCGATCAGGTGTGATTCTTGGGCAACAGGGCATGATTGATTCGGTGAGGTACGAATCGATCCCACGGGCCATGGCGGTTATGGAGGGTATTGAAATTGCAGAAGATCAGTGGGGTATTTTTGATCTGAAATGTTACCGTGGAGTTGACGGCGACCTGCGCCGATGTTGAGGAGTAAGGAGTGAGGACGGGTTTATGAGGTCATGTTGAACTATTATTATCAATGTACGAAGTAGCCATTATGGAGAGATGGGAGTCTTGCTGGAATGAATAATATTGTATTACCCACCGGATGAAAGTCTGAGCCGTACTCAGCTTGCATGCATTCTCGTGCTCAACGCCTCAAGCCTGTGTGTGATATTTTCCCGAGGTTCGCAACACCGACGTTGCGTAAATTGGTGACTTATTTGGTCAAATCCGTTTCTATTCCGAAGGTTTCTCAGTTCGTTCAGCAGCTCGGCCCGTTTGAACTGTAGTACGTTTGGGAACCGTTAAAATTCGCTGCGAGAATTGTACAGCCCTGCTCCAAGGCTGCAAAATTTTGGAAGGTTGATGAGTTTGTTTGCACATTTAGGGAGAACTATTCCCCGAGCACTCGTTTACAAGGGATGATGATGGATGTTTAGGTGTGCCTGCGAGGCAATAGGCCTACGAGTGCTTTTTTGTATTTACGAGGTAGAGATTGGACACATCGCGTACATTTTCATGATTAGAGCATGGCTGAGCCGAATGTAGAGTGTCATCAGATAGAGATAACTACCTGGACATGTAGTGTAGAACATAGAATTAAATATCTGAACTTTCTAGGGATCTAATGTAGATGACCGTTTCCAGATGGATTCATTATCAAAATCGCTCGTCTTCTCGCTAACAAATTGGCCAGACGTTCTTTGCACCCTTTGCCTAGACTTGTATTACGAAGACCATGACCGATACCAACTTCGCTGCTGCGAAAAGACAGCGTCTCCTTCGATGTTTCGGAAGCCACGTGTGTTCTTGGAAAGCCCAGAATGATAAGGAATGGTTGATGAAGTTTGGCGACTAAGTGTTGATGACTAAACATATAATGTGTGACGGAGTGCATATCAGGAAACGTTTTAAAGTTGGGCAATAATCCGTGTTGGAACTTACCCTTTACAACATTTTACAACATTCCACGGGAGCCAAATCAATCAGCGTTTGAAAGGTTCCGTCTTGGTCCCATCTCCATCAACCTCCATCTCTTACAATCAACACTCGTCCTCATCCTGACCCAATCCCTCTCCTCTCCCTGTTTGAGCGGATTTGATCGTACCAGCTTCGATTTTCCTCCTTCCCAAACAGACATTCAAAGGTTTTTTTTCTTTTCATCACCCTTCTTCAAGTCGAACGCCAGTCTAACTGCGACATGGCAGCCACAACCCCCCAAACGCCTCCATCAACTAAGATGGTGAACGAAATGCTTTTCGTAACACCGATACTCCCCCCTCAACTCTCCCCTACACCCAAAAGGAAGCGCAAAATCACACCCACTAGAGAGGAGGTGTCTCCCAAGAAGGTAGCCGTCCTCGCAGACCGAGCTGTGACAACGGCTTTCCAGGACAATGTACCACTCTCCTTCGTCCCTAACCCTCGAGGATGGATGGCACAAGCCACCGAAGCATCTATCGGTAAGTTTCATCCCTGAATAAGTACGAACTATCCTTAACTGTCTAAATCTAGATGATAGGCTATCCCTTTGGCAGAACCCGCAAGATGGGGAGGACTCTACCGAGCGAGGGCCAAGTCACACCACGCCACGGCATATTGTCTTACCCTTCAACCTCAGCGACAACCCAAACGCCTTAGACACAAAAGAGAACCTGAATATGTTGTTCGCCATATACCCGTCCACATCCGCAATATCTATTGTGGGCCCCTTCTTACATTTCGTAATGAGAGAATTCCCACCCAAGCCATGGCCACGGACGATCGCTGGTCTCGCCGTTTTCTTTGCTCCCGAATCCAACCCCTTACTACAACCTATCCCCGTAGGGGCGCCAGTCCCTGGGAGTCAGCTCTCTGTGTCGAGCGACCTAGACTATCAAAATATCGATGACTGGGAGCCACTTTTCCAGCTTGTCAAGGACCACTTCCAGTCCATTGGGGTTCTCATCAACGAAGTTATTTACTGCAACGTTTATGTTATAGTAATCCTTGACAAGCAAGGAATTGATATCACCAAGTTGCCTTCACGAATTGCTCGAGTTAGATGTCATTATTACTATAGCGATGAGTGGGGGAACAAACTGGCAGAATTTCAAGCTCGACGATCATCTGACCCAGCTCCCGGAAGCCCAGATGACAGTGAGTATAACATACTTCAACCTGGTATTAGAATAGCATCAGGGCCGTTCCCTGGACATGTGGGTCAATTTCTATCAACGACGGCTGGAATCTTAATCCAGGATGAAAATAATACCGAGTTCCTGACGGTAGCAGCCCACGGTTTCCCGGGACAATGCGGTTCTTCAGTGTTTCACCCGCAAGCTGAGAACGGCCGAGCTATAGGGGATTTAATTATGGAAGTTGGGGCTACTGACATCGCGCTCGTGAGGTTGGGGAAGGGAGAAAGGTTTTGCAACATTACATTC